AACGGAAAGATTGGTATTAAGGTCGATAATTCGGATGATGATGATGATGATGGATGGGGATTTAGTATGTCATCAACGAGGAGGTTGAGGATGATCACTTACTAGAGGTCGAGGAATGTTCATAACATTTATGTACTTCGGTGGCCAAGTACGTAAATTTTTGCATAAAAAAGGAAGGTGAAGTACGTAAAAATTTACAGTACCCCCTTGAAAATGGTCCCCAAACAAGCGCCCAAACAAGTTCGCAGCAGGACGGCCTCGCAGACAACAGTGTACCCACAAATGGCCCATCGTACGGAGTGATAAATGGTGCTGCATCTTTTATCCATCTTTCCCATATTCACAAGTGCCTCATTACCCTCCTTCTCCAATGACACAGACACAAACAAGAGGAGTGCCTTTGCTGCCAGCACCGACCACGCAGGCCGAAGAAGCATGAAAACCACCTGGTGACCAGCAAATCGCACAGTCTTCAGGAATACAATCGGCAACGCACGTACTAGATTCTATGATGGCTGGCCATTCAACAACTTCAATAGTACCTGCTATGGCACCTACTACGCCAGCAGTAGCCTTTTCAAGCGCAGCAGCAACAGTACCTTCTGCAACCGCACCAACTACAACTGCGTCAGGTATAGGACATCTCTTATTGTTTAGTTAATAATTGTTGTCGTCAATACACCTGTTTTATCGCTTAGATATGTGTTTTAGGACGAGCCAATTGGACGAGTGAGGATATAATGAAACTTGCCAAGACAGTAGCAGAAAGGAAGCAACTTTTTTTTTTTTGCAAACAAGTCGTCGACCGCTGCAACTATCAGCCGGACCATATTTGCCGCATCCTACACGCAACAAGAAGTACTCACCAAGGTAGATTAATTGTGAGACAAATGGGAGAAGGACACAAGGGAAAAAAAATCTCCCAGTCCGGTCAAGGTGTTCCTGGCGGTCTACACTCACATATGACATGGGAAGGTAAGCTCAGATATAGTGGTATTATATGTACAAGGACGCCTATTGCATCGTATATACTAATTGTATAACAAAAGTCTACGTTAAATTTAAGTGGCCTCTATAGGAGGATTGCGATAATATATTCGGCGACAGCATCGGTGCCAATTCTCAAATCCAAATGGATAGCTTGAGTGGGCTAGTGGACGAGAGCGATAATCAATTACAGCGAGGCGATGACACTGTTGGTGAAGAAGTGCAAGAAGCTTCGGGACCTAGACTTCACGTGGATGATGAAACGTAAGCTTTTAAAATGCTCATTTCGATGGGCTATACGATATACAGATGTTTGCGTTATTGACTGAATGTTTTCTTTATTTTTTTCTTTTTTTTAGCATGGATTTCACTGAGAGTTTCATGTCTGAACGTTCGCGTCTTCACATTGAAATACACAAGACTCGCCAAAAGCAGTTGGACCTTGCGATCAAAAAAATGCGAGTTCAGACTCGACGCGAAGAAATGGCACATGAAGAACGCACGCAACGGCTGCACCATGAACGCGACGCGCGATATATAAAACGTTTCCGACTGTCAATTGAATTAGAAGAGTTGAAACAAAAAAATGGGGGAGAGTACATAGGGAGAGAAGGAAGAGAGGAGAGACGGGGGAGTACAGAAGAAGCGAGTATATAGTGTGGCAGGTAGTGTTGGAGGGGAAGAAGAGAGAGAGTAGGTTTGTTTTGTTTTTGATTTTGAAAATTACAATAAAAAAGAAAAAGGCCTATCGAGCTGTGATTCCAAGCGCTATCTTCAAGTACACTTGCATCATTTCGCCTGGGGTGATTTGACCTCTGTTACGTCTACTTGTTTCAACGAACTCGTTACCTTCATCATCATCACCCCAAAAGTCATCATCACCGGTCGGATGAAGCTCTCTTACGTTGCGCATGTCTGCATCTGGATTGCGGCGCCGTTGGAGGTCGCCAATGACGCTCAGGTAAGAGCCATCATCTTTCACGTTTTGCACAAAATTGTGCAACAGACAACAAACAGCATTCCAGTTCATGCATCGCTTATAATCACGTTTGCCTCTGACCATGATCGGTAGACATTTTAAGCTTTGCCATCTGTTCTTTAGAAAACTGATCGTACGTTCAACCTCCACTATACACAAAGATGATCAAAAGAAAATGGCTCAACACACAGAAATACTTATAAAATCGCAATAATAAAACGTCCGTACCTCGTACAGACGACAACTTTCGATTGAACTGAAGATTTTCTGGGATCTGTCGTGCTTCCCCTTTGTATGGTGTGACAAGACGTGGTGACAGAGGGTAAGCCGCATCACCAAGAATGTATTTAGATTCATCAAAGAATGATTCCAAATTCTTTCCCATCATACTTTTACGGAAAGCGCGCGAGTCGTGTACCTTTCCTGTTTCATCAGCAGAGAAGTAGCGGATCCGATCGTTGATATCACAAACGATTTGTAGATTAAGTGCATATCTTTTCTTTCTTGTGAAGAACTGTTCGCCTTGCCAACCTGGCTTGTTTTGCAACACAACATCAGTGCCGTCAACAATACCAATGCATTCTTTGAATGCGAGGTTTTTGATATCGCGTAGATCGGTTTTCAATTGGCTACGCTCGTCCTCATTGGGCCAGAATACAAATTCTTTGATGTGCATAAATTACTCTGTCCGTAAAGAGAGCAACTGTGCCCTTGCCGAAACCATATCTCGAAGCCACATCATCAAGATCGCGTGACAAGTGACCGAATTGGTATAACGCGATTCCCAACTGAATCCGAACAGGTTTTTGTTGAACACGCGGTCATCCTTGATGAGATTGTAGAGTGCCTCGAACGTGTTCCTTGTCATCCGAAATTCGCGTCGAAACGCGTTGTTGTCGCTCGTAGTAAACAAAAGTTCACGTAGGTCGACGGCCTTGGGTTTTCTTTTACTTGATACCAAGTAACGGCTTGATAAGACCTTCTTTGCAAATTCTTAGTCAAATATTAATAATTCGAGTTCTTCATCAACGAAGTCACCCAACAATTCTTCGTCATTGGGAATCGACATGTCAACTTCTTCAGGAATGGGCATTGGTTCGTCCGAGATCAAAACCCATTTTCGGTCGAGATCGTTTATGAACTTATGCTGACCACACAGCATCTTGTCGGAGACCTTACTGACGTTGACGAAGTGCCGTAAGAAACGAGCTTTCTTGGTGAGGTGAATCTTCTTAGGCATAGTGGACGAGAAAGAAGCAAAGAAGGAGAAAACAAATCGAAGTGACTTATTTAGGCAACCTCATATATTAAACTGCTTAGAACTGGGTTGAATTCATCATCAACTATCGACATACCGCCCGCATTCACAATTCCTGGCATCAACAAAGTAACAACGAACGTCACCTAGAAATGGCATTAACTGCTCGCAAACACGCACACACACAGCGCGCACAAACACACGAATACAACAATTCATTATTTGTAGATTTAAAAATCACACATTCTTTCTATACATTTTCATCACACATCAATTTTTTTATCGACTTATGATAAGACATGCAAAAAAGCTCTCGTGTCTGTACATAGTGTTATTGTAAAGCAGCGCTTTTTAATTCCATACTCTCAATTGCATAGAATTTGTCTTGGTATCCAACACCTGAAAAAGCGTATATTATTGATGGTTTTTGTAGGTCAAATGCTAATTGTATGTATTCTTTGGGTGCACTATGATTTTAAGCAGTATAGTGAGTTTGAGAGAAGATGAGACTTGTGTGTTAATTTATATAATGAGGTGTATGACATAGCCGAGCATCGCGCACTGCAAACTGCACGCTTTATGTATATATATCACATACCGATAATGGTATGAGCACGGACCACGCACCGATTTTTCTGCCATTGTTTTTACAGTACACGAAGGATGCAAGGTATCTCTTAGTCTCCACATCGCCGAATCACCTCTTGGGATTACTAAGATCTCTAGACTTCTTGTGAGCGTATGATATTTTACTACATATTACCTTTTTCTTTTCAGCCTTTATTTGCATTTTGCATATATACATAACATTATTGATTACAGTCTCAGAATACATATTGTCCTCTTTATGATATAGAAAGGCATACCGTCATTTCAACCATATTGATAACATATAATATGTTAGAAATTTACGTTTCCGAAAAAAAAAAAGAACTTGGAAAAGAAAGAGACTGGTTGGTTGGAGGATAGTATATACAACAAGGATCCAATAATGTAGTGACCGTAACTTTTCTTTGAAAGATACACAGTTTGTATATGTAGTGGTCCAAAAAAGAGGTACTTTTGTAAAAAGATTAAGTGTGTGTTTGTGAAGAGAGAGAGAGAGGGAAAGAGACATCCTTGTGTTCGTGCCCCTGGAGAAGAGAAGGCCTTCCGTCTCTTTAAGCGTGAGCGTTGTCGCCCAAATTGCGGATAAAAGGTGGAATCTTGGTCATCCCGACAGTAACAAGGACCTGGACCTTGTCCAATGCTTAAATCGTCTGTGTGCCTTGATCGGTACTGTAGCCCGTACTGTCAGACAGATCGGGCATGAAGAATCGATGCGCACTATCGACACGGAAGGTGAGGGTTGAACGTTACAGGCTGGGTATTATTGTTGTTTGCCTGCTGCTGCCGTTGTTGCTGATTGGCATCGCTACCGTTTGTAGTTGGTATAGATGCTATAGATGTGGTAGTAGTAATTATAGCAGTAGTAGTGCCGTTCGACGGCGTTGTCGCTGCTGCTGCTGCTTCAAAATGACAACGGATCCAGATAAGGGGACAGCAGTTGAGGGAGGCGAGCAACCTTCCCGCATTTCTTCCAACAAGGCATCTTCATCGTCGCTCAAGCTCTAATAACGCTGCTTGCCAATGGTGGTATACATTCCCTCCTTCCAGATGGACAATTGAGCCGTCAAAGCGGCGGCAGAAGTAAAGTTGGATAAAGAGGGGCAAATTGAGTGCGTAGTGGGAGTATTTCACAATCTCCAGCGTGCCGGTACAGAAATACTTTGGTGGTTAGAGGGTCTTGACTACAATAATAGACTTTGGACAAATGACATAGAGCATCCGGATATGCTGCTCCACACCTGTACGGATATCATCTTCAGCAATCGATGCAATCTTCTGGTTGTCGATCACCTTTTGGGCATCCTCGTACGACACCTTGGCACAAGAGCTGTTTTTAATAACGTTACAATATCGATACGGCTGATTTCATCAATAGCTAAGGAACAGAGGTAAAAAGAGAAGGTAGCATACTTGACGATGGTCTTGCCAAACCAAGTGTCGACCACCTTGTCGACAGAGCTGAGCTTCCACACGACGGAGAAGGTAAGTCTAGATAATGACAAGAAAATGTGAATACCAGAAGAGATACAAAGACAATGTAACAGTGTGCGTGGGACCATGATACTTTACCTTGGCTCGTTGGGAATCAGGTTGGTAGTTTGTCCAGAAAAGTGAATCTTTGACATATTCGGCTTGAGCACGTTGATGCGTTTTAAATGCTTTGATCGAGTCCTTGGTGATTGCCTTGTATGTTAGTGGCTATAATATCAATGTTAAATTGATCATATAAGACAACATACCTTCACTTGTAACGTTAGCTTCATTAACGGGAAAAGCTGTGCCAAAGTCATATCTGCTTTTTGCGGGATTCACCCCAGACCCAAATTATTTGCCCATATTCGGACGCCGTACGGGCCTCTACAAGCTCTACGGAACATACCCTGTGGCCTCTGCGGTGTCACGCCGTGCACACCGTAGAAATTATAGTATGCTCAGCCTACCATAGCACCAGCTTTCTCCCTTCTTTTTCTCAGAATAATTCTCACTACATTGCGTCCTCCATTTCGACAATAAGCAACCAGGAACCCCAACCAGAGCATCTTTTTCCGGTAGCATACAGTATTATATATATGTATCTGATTTAAATTATGAGGATTAACGCTCAACGCAGTATTGAGAAAATAAGTAACAGAATAGGTGCTTATTACACATAATAAAAAATCATATCCGCATAACAGGTCTAATAACATACAATGTATAAGTAAGCATAATAAGGATTATAAAAGAGCTCTTGATTTACAACGGCGTATATACATTGCTGGCTCTATAGTGTTTCTTCTGAAAGTACTGCATCTGGCAGAGAAATATCTTCGTCATGCATAGTATAATCTACTGGCGGCATATACTCATACATCAGCTCGTCATGTTCCTTCTCAATATCCTCATATGTCTCAGCATGGACAAAGTAAACGTCTTCGTCATATTCATCGTCCGCATCGTCACCGTATTGTTCGTCGTTGTCGATCTGTGAAATTTCACCAACAGTACGCGGTTTGCTGCTTCTGATATTACATTGGAGACGTTCAGCTTGTTCCAAAAGATCACCAAGAATAGCTTGCCACCCATCGTCATGCGTCGCCTCTATGGCATTTTGAATGGCGCTATAACGTGCTGCAGCGTATGCTTCCAGATTCTTTTCTTCGTCCTAAGTGGAAAGTTGAGATCACAGTATGGAGTTTCAATGAAGTACCATAGCACTAACCTCGATCATTATCAGCTCTTCCTCGGCGCGCTTAATGTTCATAATCTCTCTGAGAACGTCGACGTCGTTGCTTTCTGCTATATGGTGCTGTTCCCAAAATCGTGTCTCCAGATGACAGACATCCTCCCACTGGACTTCAGGCTCCAACAACAGATGGCAAGCAGCATTGTATAGCTTCAATTGCTTTTCAGCTGCAGTGCTTTGTTTCTTGATTGCGCTTCTAACTTTCGTGCTTACTCTTTCGCCTGTTTCATAATTAATTAATTATATCCATCAGCAGCGCTTTCTCATTTTTACACTTCAAAAAACAGATATACAATACCTATTTTGCCCTCTCGATTACGCAGCTGATCATACATCATCTTACGCGAGATTATATGTGATTTTAGTTTATACAGGCTATCTTCCTTTTCTCGCTTTGCTTTTGCTTCTTTTGCGCTTGCGTATTCTGTGCTATTTATCTGCCATCTTCGTTCAGGCTTTAGCACCCTTTCAATTCTGGTAACATTGTCTTCAGCGATCTCGAGCTTTCTTGAGAGCTTTCGAAGCAATCCAAATTTCTCATCTATTGATGATAACAATAGCTTAATACGCATAAACGAAAGGGAGTAGAAATCGTTATACATACCTGCTTCCGCCATAGTCATATTGGCACATTTATCTGGATCTTCAAGCTCCCTCGATAAAGTAATGCGCTCCGCTCTAATGATGTTTTCCGAATGGATTAGTTGTCTAAGTATTTTACAGTACTCTACAAAAACACTTTGTAAACTCACTCAACCGCGTAAAAATGCTCTAGTTCTTCATAATACTGTATTTTTACTGATAGAGGTTTGACACCAGTGAATATAGTACGATCTTTCGATTTTTTATGGACGGTATCTTTGTACGTCTTCCATTCTTCTTCGAATCTGAGCTCATCTATCTTCCCGTCCTCGTTTCACCACCAGCATGGCGTACCGCCGGAAGCTACAAGGGTAGCTCTGTGTCGCAAGTATGCAGACGCTTGTTCGATGATTGCCTTTGCCCTTTTCGTCCGTTTTTTAAGCGCGTAACCTATCGGTACTATTATGAGTATCACGCAATCATTTATAACTTCATTTAAAATCATGCATACACATATTGATTATAGTCTTGGCTTTCGAATGACCAATCGCATGCTGTAAAACGAACAGACGTCTCTTGGCGCTCATTTGTCTAGTCATTGAGACAAATCCTCCAAGGTAGGACCAAAGACGCTCAAGTCCTTCTCCATCTGTCAGTCCAAAGCCGCTTATGAATCGTGGATGATAATCGACCTGGCAAGACATTGAATGGGCGTATGCATGGAAAACGGAGACGGCCATCTGTGATCCAGCTTGAGCAAAATTGGGAAATGCTTGCTAATGGTGCATAAGTAATTAAAGATCAATTTGTTTACCGGATGCGATGATATTCTTAGACACGGCAAAATATCTTAAATGATGGTTCAAAGCGACAACCAAGATCATACAAAATATTGACATCTTTGTATCCCTTAGTGGCAACAGCAAGCACAGATAGAGCATATTTGTACCTATACAAAGCTCAACATGTAAGTGCATATTATACGCTAGGGATTATAGACTGCATGCATGTAAAAAGCATTAAAATTACTTTTCACCAGAAGCAAAGATATTCGTAAACTGAAGTGGAACATTGTGTCTGCCGCATACACAGCCTACTATTCCACTTTCATAGAACTTCTCGACAGCAGCAGAAACGGACGTAACAGCTTTGAGCTCACTCTCGCAACGCTTATTGACGGCATTGGTGACTTCATGCTTTTCGTAAACGTCATGCATGTTATCAGCCGAGAAAAACGTCGCTGCTTCAGCTTTTTTTGTGTCATTTGCATGTGCTTTGCGTCGTCGCAATTGCATGTTGCCATCGACTGCGACGAACAGTTTTCCTTCCTGTGTAAATTGTATATTGAGTCATTAGCTCATCAAAATATCATGACAGCACTGAATTATAAAACGAGAAGGAGACCTTGGGACAAGCCGGACACGCATCTCGCTCCATTGGAGTAATATTGCTGAACTCGTTAACCATTTCATCCGTCACTTTTCTTTCAGCTCCATGTATGCTGTATGTGCATTTCCTAAAGTCTTTCGAATTCTATCAGGATTCTTTATTCCATAAAATTCAAATGTATATACAATACATTAGAATAACTGTTATGATAAGTGATTTCGCTCCATTGTGTTATCATCTGATTATTCTATTAGCAGTAACAGTACCTCAAACTTGTGCACATAAGAGCAAGCATTTCCAAAGGCTTGTGCTGCTAAATGACCTTCAGCCAAAAGCGCAGAATAGAAATCAAGCAATGGGAGATGAAATGCTGTCCTCGGCGAGGCGGGAGATGACGGAAACAAGTGATGGTAAAGCAGGGTTGAGGCGTCTGATTTACATTCACAGAATGGTATTTTATAACTTTTAATGCCTGTTTCGTATGTTTTGGACGGCATTTATAGGAATGTTTTAGCAGTTGTCCATATCACAGTATGTTTGGTAATTATTAATGCAACGTAATGCGTTACCGGTAATGAAAACGCAAAGATCTCCCGTTCCTTTGTTTTATCGCATGTAGTGCAGCGCGCGTCGAAAAACGGAGTCGTATCGGCCAGACTATAGTCGCTACTTCCCCTGCACTTTACATAGTCTTTCGGTAGCACCTTAAAGACCTCGGACCAGTTTTCATCAAGAGCTTCCAATCTCCTTTTATGTTTTTCGATGTCATGGTCATTCAGACGAAACACTGTCAAGCCTTCATTAAAAGCGCTACTAGGACCGTCACCATAGTCGAGATCATCGGTTTCTCCGTGATCTTCGCGTTACAAAGTATATGTTATAATAAGCAAAGATTTAGTGTGCTTATATGCGAATCAGTTACCTAATTGATCATGCTGTGAATTTTGACGCGTATCTCTTATAGTGGGAGCAGAAGCTACAACTGCATCGTCACCAGCATACACTTTGCGGCTTTTCGTTCTCGTTCTCCCATCGCTCAACATCGTGGATTCCACTAGGTCCATGGCGTCGTCTTCGTTGAACCGATCGTTAAAACCCATGATCTACTGTAGTGCTAATAAGATGGTGCGGTCTGTTGTTTGTTACGTTGTAGCTAAGAACCTTCAAAAGATAATTTTTCATTTCAGTTCTCTATATTTATATTGCAACACATATTAAGTTGATCACTTCTGTTTATTGCTCAGTACTTTAAACGTGCAACTTGACAAAAAAGTACCACGCGCTTGAGGAAAGCTTCTTTTACTGTAATTTTCTATGACGATCCCCTAATCCACAATTAATTTTGTACACAGAAGTACGTTATGTAATAGGGTAAAAATGCTCGGATGCTAGGAACTGTTTCAAATTTCCTTGCTTTCTAAGAGTATTACTGTGGTCATTTCCAAATTGCATGAAGAATCCTCCTAATAATTTCATCATTCTCGCTCCACCTCTACCCATCTACCACCACACCGTCTAACTCTTTTTGTTCTATGCGGTTTTTATTCAGTTATGGCCTCATATTCTTTGTATATGTATAGTATCCTTGTCCATGTCAAGGAACGACCACATGTCCCCTAGCGCAGATCACTCTGTCTTCCACAGTAAAATCAAGATCTGTAATTTAATAAATGAACTAACATACCTATTGGATGCTAATATGTCGCTTTTATCAATAGCAACTTTTTAAAATGTGCTAAACCATTTAATTTAAAGCTTTTCAAAACTAATTTGGCCATTGATAAGGGCATCATACAGCTCTGACCATCTCTTATACGGCATGTCACTCGGGCACAAAGCAGTATCTGCCTTTTCGCCACAATCAAAACCCGTGAATTCGCACCCCAATGTTTCATTTCTGTAGCGAATTATCCCACCGTTTGACACCCTCTTGAAACTTTTCCACGGAAACTTTGTCAAATTTTTGTCGACTTCGTTGTCTACATACATTCATTTACAAGTATTAATACATTGATAACTGCAATGCAGGCACTGCTTGTAACATACTACAGAGTTCAATCATGAGGTCCTTAACCGTGCTTTTCTTTTTGGTAGGCTTTCTGGTCAAACGAGGGCCTGGCGAAAACGAATAATATACATTAGTAGCTCCTTTTAACAATGCTATGATGTGTTAGCGATAGTTACCGCCTGTTGTTCCTATAGTGACAGATTGTTGTTAAGAAAAAGTCAATAAATAAATAATCCTTTTTCTCAATCAGATGTTACTATCACAGTGTAGTATTAACCTTGACAATGTCGATGGAAGTTTGGACGCCCTCCAATCTTATTCAATGCGTTCTGAGCTTTCTCTTAATAGTTGGTATTAGAACCTTGAATATGAGCATTTCTAAAAACATATTTACTACTTTACATACTAGATGAGACTATAGGTGTAGTAAGCATCCAATCGGTCTCAAACTGGGGAGACATGAGCGTGCCGACATTCCATCCCATGGCCACGCTAGCACGGTGGTTAACCGACATGATCTCGCGTCTGAAAGCTCTCCCAAGCTGCTGACGAACATCTAGATCCATAGGAGCCGGTTGCTCCATCATATGGTTCATGCGCTTGACCTTCTCTTCAAGCTTTTTCTGGTGCTCCTCGTTCATGCGAGCACAGATCGCAGCCAGTTGAGCAGTTGTCGTTGTCAACTCTCCATCGTTATACTGTCTGATAATATCTTCCCATTCTATATACTAGATAAGTAAAAATTCTCATTTTACCTATATACAAAATAGCAAACCTTCTCGCTCTTCGTCAGTGCTATTTTGAGAAAGGAAGTGAGTTAACGCGTTCCAAGTGGACCACTTTTTGGTTCCCTTAGGGCGGTAATATTTGTTGCTGGAAGCATTTGACTGCTCTGGTTGGGGTTCCTGGTTGCTTATTGTCGAAATGGAGGACGCAATGTAGTGAGAATTATTCTGAGAAAAAGAAGGGAGAAAGCTGGTGCTATGGTAGGCTGAGCATACTATAATTTCTACGGTGTGCACGGCGTGACACCGCAGAGGCCACAGGGTATGTTCCGTAGAGCTTGTAGAGGCCCGTACGGCGTCCGAATATGGGCAAATAATTTGGGTCTGGGGTGGCGGGATTTGGTACGCATTACTCGACATCAAACGGCAGCTGTATGTATCCTTTCGGACAATCAAATACTTGAGCTTGGACGCGTGTGCCTGAATTACAAAGTATTGATAATCTGGATGATTTAGACAATTTGTAGAATTGACAACTCACTATTTTGGTTCAAAGCAGTTATCTTCAAGGTGCGTGCAAGCGATTCTGCATTTTTCCCTTTCGTCAAGGCTCGATGAAAGATGTCTTTCATAACCTTCGGGACATGCAATTGTCGCTCCAGGAATTCCTTCTTGGAGATGCCGCCAACATCTTCTTTACCGCATTCACCAACGGCGAAATCAAGACCGTCGTTTATAACGAGGAAGTCTGGTCTGATCGACGACGCTTGTTCTACAAGTGGTTTCTTGCCGCTGACTTTTCTGTCAATGTTGACGCGTACTAATGTTGATTGGCATGTACGATTACTATAATTTGTATAAGCCATCCTGAACAGTGTAATGTAAAGAAACGAAATACATGTTTACGATTGTTTATCATTTTACTAGAGAAAATCATCGCAACTTGGCCCTTCCTCGTGTTAAAAGTATACAAATGAGAAGATATTACGCTACCAACTACTGAACATATACTTTTACACCCGCGTGAAAATAAGGGCCATGCTGCGATAATCGATCGTCTAGTAAAATGAGAGAAGTCGAATGGTAAACCAAAAATCGATACTTTACCGGCCTACCACACCCAAGTCTTGGAAACAACGGTCATTGTTGTCCCAGCAACGCACAACAAAGTCTTGCTCGGAACCGTTGGCGATCACTTCAACAATAGTTTCGCGTCGATACAACTCCAGAAAGTCAAGAAGAGTTTGCTGAATCCAATATTCTTGCGATTGGACTTTAGGATCAAAGAAGCCCAAAGCAGTAATTGCCTTCCAGATGCAAAGGACATACTCGTCTTCTTCTGTTTCATTGTTCTCTTCTAGTGGTTTAGTGCCTTTTCACATTTTTCAAAAACGTGTTGCACGGAATCGTCCAAAGAAGGGAAAGCATTCACCCCTACTGTTGCTATGTCTTTAAGCTCCTGCTTTGTGAGCAAATCTTGCCAGCAATTGTCCTTCGGGTCGATTATGAATGAATAATTAGTACTATATTGTATTCACATTTGCAAACCATTGTAAGTCTTTAATGGGGTGGGTGGTAAAACATTTGGATGCGAGGATCTTTAAACTTACTGTTCATATCCACACTCGAACATGATATCTTCAAGGTAGACTTTGGTACTGTTTTTCTTGATATATACGCACCAACATGTTTTCTCTTCTTCTTCATGACCTGTTCTGAACCAGTCTTTTGCTCCGGCCGATGATTCAGTTGAGCCAGTTTTTGACGTTTGTGGTCAGCTTGATTTTATGGCGATTTTTTCCTTTATAAAACTTGTAGATTGCTCCTTCATGATTTCTTGAACAATCTCGTTCAATTATTATAAACAAATTGGTAAGGGGTAAAAATCCTCATGAGCGTGGTAGACGGGAGGAGAAAAGAAAAGAATGAAAAAGTGGAAAGACAAAGAAAAGGGAAGAACAAAGGACGATTGTTGCTAATCACGCAATATGTAGCGTTGAGAATCAAAGTCACGCCAATTCATGCACACGACATCACCTAATTGGTCCAGCAATCTTTTACATATCCGGAACAAGGTCTTTGTTCCCTTACTTTCAACCACGCACAATCATACTGCTATTGACAATGAAATAAAGCACGTATTTTATCAACAATCTTTGTTATACACTCAAGAATTGCGTCTACCCTTCGATTTTACGTATTCATCGCTACAGTCTGGAGTCATCCCGTCCCTTTTGATTTTGCAACCTGAAAGGCGTGGATGTGGGTGTATAAGTTTATGGCAGCGACATTAGTGTGGCGAAGCTAAACAAGTAGCTTTAATACCAGTTGAATCACAGTAGAAGGGTGTACGGAAATCCAAGTCCAGTAGACACGCCAGCATGTTAGGATGACGGATGGAACGGCCTTGGTCTGTTGCAGCAGGGACATTGGGGCAGTCCAGGTTGATAAATGAATAGAGAAGGGGTTGAGATCTGGCATAACATAAAGATCAAGAATACTATGGAGGTGACTGGTAGTGGTGAACGTGTGGTGCTCGACACCAGATATCACTCCGGGACGGATGGTGCATTATACTACGCCAAGGCTGGCGCCAACGTCGAGCGATGGGTGTCCGGTTGTGTGGCGGTCTACAAACATTGTCCGAATAGAGAGGAAGAGATGTACGAATGCTGTGGTTCTTATCGGTGAAACAAACGGCGAAGAGCGTACGCAGCACATTATCGTTGGTGGTGCCAAGCTGTCGGTTATGTTGACCCAACGGGTGGGGCGCAGGAAGGCAAAATCGACTATGAAAATTTCTTAGTATGATGCGGCCAAGCTGCGTAGTTTCAGAATTAGCGAGTGACATTTGGATGGGGGATCGGGTAATTTTGTGATAGAGGTCGTCGTAGTAAGCCCTATTTTTCGTCAAAGACGAACAAGTCCAACACCTTAATTTTCTTTGAGGGTCGAAAAGCGGAGCAAGTCCTTGGCTCCGAGATCCCCATATTGTGCGGCAAGGCAAGCAGAGCACAAGCATTAGTGGAATATATATGGATGATGGTGCTAGTTGAAGTTGATCGATCACGGCCAGAAGAAGTGATGCTATCATATTGCAGAAGATTTGTTGCTGTAGAAAACGAGGATGTGATTCAAGAAAGGCGACTAAAGGCCGATGATCTGAGGAATTTTGTGTGATGCTCATCAACAAGTGATGTACCAGATAAGGTACTACCAGGAAACCTGATGTATTGGCGTTAGGGAACTCGATTAAAGGTTGTATCCAAGGTAGTCGAAGCGCTTGTTGCTATGTCCGAGAGTCGAGAACTTGTACGCCACCCTGATGCTGTGGTTGATGGGGATGGAACATGGCAATTTTAGGGGAACATGTGGTGTGAAATGAAGCTGGATGGGATGCTCTGTAGTTTATTCCTAAAAGGACGCAGCAGCACCACTGGCTAACGGCAGGCCATATTGTAGTCGAGAAAGCCATATGTATTGTGCTTAGGGATATTACACGCTCGCGCACAGACAGTAGGCATCGCTGATATAATTAATAGCCATCGCGTATGCGGATGAGGTGGCGATCCATAAAAAGACGATGTTGTATTTCGGATCTATATTGCCTAGAACAATAGACCAAGTAGGTCATTGCTTCAAACTTGACCGATCGTGACAGGCTGGGGTATGCGAATCTGGCAAGATGTTGATTCCATCACGGTTGTGGCTGGCTCAAAAAAGACACTGCTATGGACGTTAATACGAGCGTTTGATTGCCTGTTAATAACGATGGAGGTGATGTGTAAGTGTTCCAGGTCAATGGCTTTGTTAAGAAAGACACATATATCGTCTGCATAGAGTTTCCAAGTATTTCGAGTGGCAGAGGTGGAAGAATAATATAAAGGAAGCTATCTTATGCACATTGATATTTATGATATTCAATATATTCTGCTATATCAGTAAAAGTGCGTGTATCATAGACGCGTTAGCCATGTGAAAATCTATCCACCTTATCACACGTTTTCAAAAAGCTAAAGTAATGTCCTGTAACAGGTCCAGTGCTTAGAATCTCAAATCTTCACCCAGCCTTTCTCTTCTTATTAGGATGAGATATGCTCACATTAACTTTATATATTCCTGAAGCAGAGTTCGCGCCCTACACTATTGTAGTGTTTTGCTCGTGTAGTTGGCATTGCTACAATAGCAGGAGTACCAACCATTGACTAAGCTTTTGTGCGTTTCATATATATATGGAATGGTGATTCTAATAAGTAAATACGCACTTAGTAAAGATATCCATGTATGTTTGACCAATCAGCAACACAATCATTACGTCCATTACTAGCTTAGTTTGTACTATTTCTTTCAACAGAGTGAAAGTCTGCTTTAATCAATGATGAATCGCATTCTGTTCTCATAAAATTATGAACAGTGCTACTGTATGTGAGACTTCTAGCGCACCCAGTCTTAAGTTCATTTATTAATTGCTCAGAAGGTTTAGAATCATTATACATAAATAAGTGTCAATTTACGAATTTCATTGAAAATGGCTTTACGGCCCTGTTCGTTACCAATAAAAATTGAATTACTATTCATATTGCTTCATCAATCTCTGTGTATGTAAAGCTTATATGTATGATATTTGATATACATAGAACTGCTTCGCTGGTGCCAAATTACTCATATAAATCTTCACTTTGAAAAATTAATATTGTTCCTCATCAGTGTACGGAGTATATGTATATGAGCGCTTTTCAGTCATTTCTCTCAAAAGTGATGCCGCAACTCTCTCCTCTAACATATGTTCCAAATGCTCTACATTTACGTGCGTATAGTACTCGGTTTTGATGTTATATAACAAATTATTGTTTGTGAAGCTGTGAAGACAAAATGCGACAACTGACTTCTAAGCTGAGATATTTATCGATCTGTGACATTTTTACTTGGTGCGACATCATCGCTTTTTACAAACCCTGTCCCTTTTTTTCTACCAGCGAAGAAGAGCATGTCCGGTAACTATTTGAATGGGCCCAGCTGTTATACACCCTCACAGCAGAAAGGTTATCATGCATGATTTATAGGAGACGGAGTGAGAGAACAATAAGAGGGAGAGAGTACGTACTCAGTAGTAGCGCAGTGCGGGAGAGTGGTTCCGATGCGAAGGGTGTTTATAGTAGTACAAACGCATGCATCTCTCTCTTGGTCTTACGTACTCTCTAACTCTACTATCATGCTAACAAGTAACCAACATCAATGACACACATAATCCTCACATGCTTCAATCCGGTCAAAACACGTTCCTCGATCAATGGGTCAGTCAATCAAATAAAAGTTCGATTTAGAGAAGAAAAGATCTAATGATAACAGCAGTGAACAACCCCCCCTCCCCAAAAAAAAGGGCCGGGCCTTACAATATCATCCTTTCGATGTACCTCTCTTCCTCCTCAAGCATGCAAGGAATGATTTGGGAGGGGAACCAAAAAAAGGGCAAGACGTCACCGCCTATTGGCTCCGAGTCGAAATAGTTCTTTTCTTTTTTTTTTTTCACAAAGAATTTGCTGACTTTTTTTTTTCCTTCCTCTTTGTCCTGTCAAACAGAGAAAAAAGGACATTCGTACACACATACATTATGTCTTGGGATTCGAACAACAACGCTTCAGGCGGTGATAGCTGGGGCGCCTCTGCTGGCGGTGGCGGCGATGCCGGCTGGGGTGGTTCTTCTGGAAATGCAGGAGGTGGTGGTGGTGGTGGTGACTGGAACGCCGGTAGCGCACCTTGGGGCAATGATTCTAGTGGTGCTGCTGCTGATCCCACCCCTCAATGGAATGCAGGCGGTGACAACCAGTTTGGTGGTAGTGACAACAACCAATTTGCCAACGGTAATGCCGGCGGTGACTATGGCGCTAGTGGTGACTATGGCGCTAGCGGTGACTACGGCGCTGGTGGTGATGATTATGAATCTAAGCCAAAGCGCGAACCTCGTCCAGGAGACTGGGATTGCCCCGAGTAAGTTTTGATTCTGGGGATGGAGGGTAGAGGGGAAAAAGATCGCTGTTGAGATCGGAATGCTGTAGTACTGCTATGTTTGACACGAACTTACACACGCACACGCACACGCACACTCTTGGTTATTTTTTTTTTAATAGATGTGGCGTCAACAACTTTGCCAGCCGTCAAGAGTGTTTCAAGTGCTCTGCTGCCCGTCCTGAGGGTATGGGTCCTCCCAAGCGCGAACCTCGTCCCGGAGATTGGGACTGCCCAGAGTACGTAATTCTTTTTATTATTTATCGGCATCCTACAAATCGAAAAAGAATAATAGATAAAGAAAAAACAGTCGTCATCTCAAGCTCACTCACTCCACAATCAATCAAACTATCGTTCATTAGATGTAGCGTCAGCAACTTTGCCAGTCGTCAAGAGTGCTTCAAGTGCTCTGCTGCACGTCCCGAAGGCGTCGGTCTCCCTCCACAGCCTGACCGTCCCGAACGCTCGTACAACTGGGCTTCCAACAAGGTCCGTTACGAATACAATGAAAACGCCTTGGGTGACGATGGTATGGCTCCTCGTGATGAAAAGCTCGAAGCGGAACTTTTTGGCCTCGATCCCACAGAGCAGCACACTCCGCTTGATTTCTCAAAGTATGCCAACATCCCTGTCCGCGTCGAACGCGGTGAGGCTCCAGCTGCCGTCCAGACCGTAAGTTTCTTTCATCTTCTTGGTGATGATGCATGTTGACGGATGACGCGTCAGTTTTAAAAAGTTGTTGTAAACTCATAATAATCGGTTACGCGTGTGTATGTGCATGTGTCACACGACAACATACACCGCTCACAAAATAACTTTCCTCATTTGTATAGTTTGATCAAGCTGACCTGCATCCCGTAATGAAGGAGAATATCCGTTTGGCTGGCTATGCTCAACCCACACCTGTTCAGGTAAACTACAGCAACACGAGAAAGGGAGGGGGAGAGACGAACAAAGATGGAAAAACGCGCACAAACGCGTGATTTTATGATTTTAACACACCGACATCTTCTATCTATCTCATCATTGCTAGACCTACTCCATTCCTATTGTCACTAATGGCAAAGATCTGATGGCTTGTGCCCAGACTGGTAACGTTCTGCTTGCCTTTATCTCCTTTTATATCAAAATTAGAAAGGGGAAACATGTACTCATTCTTTCTTCTAGGTTCTGGTAAGACCGCTGCCTTCTTGGTCCCGACCTTGTCTGGTCTGTTTGGCCGCGCCAAGGAGCTCGCTCAACCCCGTCCTGCTCCCTTTGAAACCCGTAGCTTCAAGGCTGAACCCCTTGTCGTGATCATCGCTCCTACTCGTGAACTGTGTTCCCAGATCTTTGATGAATGCAGAAAGGTAAGCTAAGGCCATGATCTACCCTGTGTGTGTTGATCAGTATAAGGAGAAACACGTGTTTTTTTTCTGTATCACTGATGATCCCTTTCGTGTGAATGTCCCGAAATGGATTGTTACTATTAGTTCACCTACCGCAGCATGTTGAGACCTTGTGCCGTCTATGGTGGTGCCGACACGGGCTCTCAGTTGCGTCAGCTCGAGCGTGGCTGTGACATTCTCGCTGCATCACCTGGTCGTTTGATGGATTTCGTTGAGCGTGGCAAGATCGGCCTGAGCCGTGTCAAGTACCTTGTTCTTGATGAAGCCGATCGCATGTTGGATATGGGTTTCGAGCCCATCATCCGTGCTCTTGTCCAAAAGAGAGGTAAGAACACGCTTCCCTGCTTATGTGCATGCGTGCGTCTGTATATGCGACCCATTTGTGATTAACATGCCCTTGTCAAATGACTAGGTCTCAACCCTGAACGTCAGACGCTCATGTACAGTGCTACCTTCCCTCGTACTATCCGTAAGCTTGCACGTGATTTCTTGCATCCCGACTACCTCTTCTTGAAGGTTGGTCGTGTCGGTGGTACCACCTCCTCCATCACCCAAAAGGTATGAATCCCATACAAACAAACAAAATGTTGTCAAGAGAAAGATAACCAACGCCATGATGGAATTTTGTAGGTCATGTACGTCGACGAAGAAGACAAGAGAGAGGAGCTCCGTGCTCTTCTCAACTCGCAACCACCCAGTCGCACTCTTATTTTCGTCGAAACCAAGCGTAGTGCTGACAGGTAATTATACTCATAACTGGCATCATAGCAAGGAGCTCAATGCCCCGCTTGTCGCATGCAAGTAACTGATCAACTAAACAAAAAAAAACAATATCCTATGATTTGACATAGTTTGGATCAATACCTCTTCGACCGAAGCTTCCCATCCACTTCCATCCACGGTGACCGTACCCAGATGGAACGTGAAGACGCCTTGATTGCTTTCAAGAACGGCAAGTGCCCTATCCTTGTTGCCACAGCTGTCGCTGCCCGTGGTATTGATATCCGCAACGTCATGCACGTCATCAACTTTGATATGCCCGAAAGCATGGACGAATACATCCATCGTATCGGTCGTACCGCTCGTGTCGGTCGTTCTGGTCTGGCCACTTCCTTCTACAACGAGCGCAGTGAACTTCTTGCTCCTGAATTGACCAAGCTGCTCAAGGAATGCAAGCAAGAAATCCCAGAGTTCTTGCAACAATATGTGACTGAGGATCAGACTTGGGAGGAAGATTTGGATGAAGAAAACGTCCCTGCTCCTGAATATGCCGGTCAAGAATACGTCCCACAAGAACGTGGCATGCCTGGTGGCGACCCCAACGGTGGTGCTGGTGATGCCGGTGGTTTTGGTGGTAAGCCCGGTGACTGGAGCTGCCCAAGCTGTAGCTTCTCCAACTTCGCCTCCCGTAACGAATGCAAGGAATGCGGTACTGCCAACCCTAACCCTAGCAGCGGTGGCTATGGTGGTGGTGGCAGTGGCGGTGGTAAGCCCGGCGACTGGAGCTGCCCAAGCTGCAGCTTCTCCAACTTCGCCTCCCGTAACGAATGCAAGGAATGCGGTACTGCTAATCCTAACCCCAGCAGTGGCGGTGGTCGCGAACGTCGTGATGGTGATTGGGATTGCTCGTCGTAAGTGTTTTATGTTTTGTTAATTGTACAAGTCTCTTCTTTGCTAACGACGAAAACGCGTGTTTTCTCCAGGTGTGGTGCTGTGAACTTTGCCCGTCGATCGGATTGCTACAAGTGCCACGCTGAACGTGAAGGCGGTGGTGACAGCGGTGGCTATGGCGACTCTGGCTATGGTAACACTGACTATGGTGCTACAGCTGACTCTGGCGCTGGTGGTGCTGGATGGGATGCCAATGCTGCTTCGGCCGGCTGGGGTGGTAACAACGATACTGCTGCTTCTTCCGGTGGTTGGGGTGGTAACAGCGAACCCGCTGCTGCTGCTGCTGCTCCTGCCGCGCCTTCTGGTGGTGGATGGGGCGCACCTTCTGAACCTGCTGCTCCTGCTGCTCCTGCTGCTTCGTCTGGTGGTGGATGGGGCGCACCTTCTGAGCCTGCCGCACCTGCTGCTCCTGCTGCTCCTGCTGCTGGTGGATGGGGAGCACCCTCTGAACCTGCTGCACCTGCCGCACCATCTGGTGGCGGATGGGGAGCACCTTCTGAGCCAGCCAAGCCTGCTGCCGCTCAAGGTGGTGGATGGGGCGCACCTTCCCAGCCTGCCGCTCCTGCTCAAGCCGCTCCTGCTTCAAACGGATGGGGAGCACCTTCTGAACCCGCTGCTCCTGCTGCCGCTCCCGCTCAAGGTGGCGGATGGGGCGCACCTTCCCAGCCTGTCGCTCCTGCTGCCGAACCAGCCAAGCCTGCGGCACCCGCACCCGCACCTGCTGCTCCCGCCCAAGAAGCTCCCGCTTCGGGTGGATGGGGTGCTCCTCCTGCTCAAACTGGTGGTGATGGCTGGGGCGCTGCTCCTGTCAACACTTCTGGCGCCGGATGGTAACTTGTCTTACAAAAACAACAGAAAATTCACACCTTGCAAAAGAAATTCTCAATTTGCTCAAATACAACAACGGAACAACAGAGGGAAAGGCTTAGAGATTAGTCTTTGTAAAATTTAGATTAATCTTTGTACATACTTAAAATTACCCTATTAAAGAACAGTGTTGCATATGTATTTTCTCTTTACATACATTTCACCTAAAAAAAATAAGCACGTCTGTTTTGAGCCTCTTCTTCGTTTGACGCATTATAATCTGCATGAATATAGGCTGTACTTGGGGGGGTTTGCTACTGAAGCGGAGCTGGACTTGCGTTGCATTTCTTTTGACAAGTGGCAAGAGCGTGTTGGTCCACCATAAAGTCCTTCTCCTTGTGCAATGCGGCTCAAGGCAATAGTACTCGCCACCACGCTGACAGCATGTCTGCAGCATTACGCGTTGGCAGCGCCATCAACAACTGTAGACTTGACGTTGGTCACACCTTGGTGTGCTCCTAATCTTGCCGTAGAGCTAGTGTAAAGTACCTCTTTTTTTTTTTGCTGTATATAACGTTGTTCCACGCAACAAACAACATCCTAATCGTGACTTCGCACTGTTTCCAGAGAAACAGCATCCAACGGCAACAACACACTCTTTTTTGATTTCGTTGACAAAATTACTGCTAAGGCAACAGCAGCCGATTCAAAGTCATCCGACGAAAACACGGCTCAACAAATTTACAATGACGCGCTCGCCATCATTGAACCGTACCTGACGCGACCTGATTTAGCCAAAATGGCACTCGCGATACATGCTGCTGCACCGCGTATTGAGGCCTACCACCAATACTATCGTGAAAATGTGCATGTCAGTGACGTACCATTGCCATGCCAACAAAAGGGTGTGTGGGCCGATATAGGAGGATCACAAGAACAACAAGCTATTGTATGCAGTCCCGACAACCTCAAATTTGACAACACGCATTATTACAAGCCGGACCTTTTACCCTTTGATCATGTACTGCTTCAACAAGGAGTGCCTATGGACCATGCAGTCGTGCTGTATACAGTGGATTTTTCATCCGATACCTTTAAACTGTTTCATCAGGCGTTGACGCGAGCTGTACAAGAACGGCCTGGTTTCGCGTACATTGTTCGTTACATGCCGCCGCCTAATGCTGCCGACAGCAAGAAATGTGATTATCAGTTGGCCTTGACAGGTTATGGCGTGGAAATGGCATTGAAAAAGACGGATTATTTGGTGATTGATGACCGGAACAATGACGCGTCCTCCACGCAAGCCTCGGTGAAAGGCAAACTGGCCAGTTTTGGAAAGAAGATCAGTCAAACGTTGTTTGAGGACGATAACGCTACACCTTCCAAGGTTGAGCCCTTGACACAACAAGAAATACAAGGTAGTAATGATAATAAGCAACAACGACAACAACATACATAGATATTTTAGAGATATACTTAAAATGAGACGGAGAGATATTTAGATTTGGGTCTCAAGGCTACTCAGTTTATCACGAAGTCCGAAAATCCATTATCGACCTTGGTACAGCTAGCACAGGATTTCCCAATGCACGGCCGTCGCATCAGCGAGCTTTCACTTGACGAAAATTTGGTTCGAGAAGTTCTTGAAAATCGACGCTCGTTTTCTGTTGACAACGCCATGTGGCTTAATGGTGTCGTACTAGATGAAAACGAAGTGGATCCATTTTCGTAAGTCAACAAAGCTATAGAGCTCCCGTGAGGGATATGTCGCGTTACTGATGATGACTTTTTAATCAGGTTGATTCGTGCGCTTCAGCGAGAAGAAAAGCTTATCCAGTCATTTGAGTCACTGGGTGTCGGATCCCACAAGGCCATTGATATCATGACGCATTCTTCATTGAGTAAAATGGAAGCGAATAGCCAAGGTGGTGAACCTACCGATATCTATGACGTGCGTTCGGATTTGGTGCTGTGGTGGAACAATCTGGAAAAGGATAAACGATACAAAAATTGGTCCAGCAATTTGATGGATGTAAGTGCGTCTTTATTGGAACTGCGCATGACGGATAATGATGAAGAACTTATCTTGTACGTAGATGTTGAAACCCGTCTACCCAGGTCAACTACGAGCAATTAAGCGCAACGTCTATAATGTTGTTATGGTTGAGAACCTTGCAACTGTCGATAGCTTGAAACGAATTGCGGAACAAGTGGTTGAAATGGTCAAACATAACACACCTATCCGTTTTGGCGTTGTTCCCATGGTCACTGATCAAAAAGATTCAGGTATTGAGCATAATTACCACACACCAGCAAGATTGTTATGGATCGGCTGAAATTATGTATTACTGTTCTAGCAACGGCCGTTGCAGTTGTGCTTGATAACTTGTATCAGACAAAAGGCAAGAAAGAAGGATTGGCGTTCTTGACAAAGGTTCGTACATTGTCAACTGATGCAAGGCTTAATGTAAAAAGCAAAACTCGTAGAACAAGTTTTAATAATTTTTATATCTCTCTTCTTGTAACTTTGATAGCTACTAGGAATTTTAGAAACATCCAAATCCGACCGTGCCACTCTGAGTATGGTTGAAAAGGCCTATGGTAGCTCTTTGGCTCCTTTGCTTGAAGAGAAAAAGGACTACATCCAACAAGTAGAAGCATTTCTTGCTCGCCTTGGTATTGGATCAACTGAGCCTGTCATGTTTTTGAACGGCAAGTTGTTTGAGCTCGATGAACAAAAGGTAAGAGACGACTACCCCTATTAGCTACAAAGCTTGAAGCTAAAGAAAATCACATAAATTTTACGCATGTAGCAATGGACTCGCGTCTTGATGATGGGTCTTCAAGAGCAAACTCAATTGGTGGCACGAGGCATCTACTTTGGTTCTATCGATGATGATGATAATGTCTACGATTATCTTTTGTCCCAGTCATATGTGTCTGTGTCACGTAACCCTTATATCACCGTGTCAGAGGGTCATCCCTTGCGCATGATGGCCTTGTCGGCCGCTCATGATACCTCAGATATAATCTATCTCACCGGTAAGTTGACGCAGTAGCCGTGATAGAAAGAAACGAAAAAAAATCGATCTAGCAACAAATTTAACTGTTGATGCTTAGCCCCCGAATCTTCCGAGCCGGACACGACACAAGTAGATACCAATGTCTGGATTGTTGCCGATTTGGACACTTTGCCCGGGTTGAAACTGGCATCTGAGGCACTTTTATTTTTGGTAAAGCCATCTAACGAGATTCGTTTGTTGTCAACAGTAGACAAGTATGGATAATCTAACACCAGACATTGTGGCTACTCCTATATAGGAAAAACGTGAGAATGTGCGCTTGGCATTAATCCACAATGGTGACAGTGACCAGTCATCCAAAGATGCAACAATTTCCACCGTCCTTTATCGAGAACTGGCTTCTGGAAACAAGGACGCTATTAAGGAACTTATTGACAAGGCTATCTCTTCTAGAGACCAGATTATATCTAGCAATCCTGAGCAAATTAAAATGTTCGCCCCTGGATCACCTATCGTTGAGTCAGCTGCAAATCATGCAGCTCAAAACCAAGCGCGTGTACTCGGAGGATCAGAGCTGGAAAAGAATTTCTCAGGAATTGTCGTGAATGGACGGGTGAGTCGTCTTTGGACTCCAAAAGCCCTGAAACTGCGTTTCTTTATATTTGATACTAATGATCATTTGCATAGATTGTTGGTCCACTTGCATCGGAGGATACGTTTACCAAGGACGATTTTATCAGTTTGCTCCGCTACGAAACTGAGAACCGTATTCAACCCGTCAAGGAAGCGTTCCTGGCCAGTGAAACGACAACAAGCCAACCTTTACCTGATGTGCTCACCCGCATCGCATTACTTTTGGAAGAAGACAAGGCTAGTGTTCAACAAGATATCTTTACTGCCGGAAAACCGACGATCCGTCAACGTCCTTACCGTGTGCGCAAGGGAGAGCATAGCAAGATCAGTATAGGCGACGAAACAACAGCTTTTGCACAAATCGGCGTGGTGCTAAATCCACTTAGCGAAACAGCGCAAAAATGGGCGGCCTTGTTGGAAACATTATCCGAAGTAGACGGCATCTATATCGAGCTCCACTTTAGTCCAACATACAAGTTGACCGAAATTCCAATGAAACGGTTCTATCGCTATGTGTTTGACCGAGAGCTCCACTTTGATTCGACCACAGGCGACTTGGCAACCCCCATGGCCTACTTTGCCGATCTTCCCGTAGATGCTCTGTATACGCTCGGCGTCGATACCATCAATGCATGGCACGTTACAGTCAAGGACGCCAATGTTGATTTAGACAATATCCAACTGAGCGATGCTCCTCAGGTCTCCGCTATATACGAGCTTGAGCGTATCCTGATAGAGGGCCATTGTGTGGATGCTGCCAATCGATCGCCTCCGCGCGGCTTACAGTTTGTTTTGGGCACACCTTCTACAGCAGCCATGACGGATACGATTGTGATGGCCAATCTCGGCTATTTCCAATTGAAAGCACAGCCTGGTGTTTGGGACCTACGATTGCGTGAAGGACGGTCGAGCGAGGTGTATCACATTGAAAGTATCGGCACCGAAGGCAAATGGCAGTCTGCAACGTCCGAGACGGATGGCAAGGACGAAATGGTGCTACGCCAACTTGCCCTCACGTCATTCGAAGGTCTTACCGTATTTCCTCAAGTGCGCAAAAATCAAGGCATGGAAGCAGAAGATGTGTTGGCTGAATCCAACAAAGGTGACGCCTCCTCAGAACAGGGCTTATGGTCTTCAATGAAAAAGAAGCTGTTTGGTAATGAAAATGATGCAAACACGGCCGGTGGTGCTATACAACCAAAGGCAAAGCAGGCAGATATCAACATTTTCTCTGTCGCCTCTGGACAACTTTACGAACGATTCATGTCTATCATGATTGCCTCTGTCATGGAACACACCAACAGCACCGTCAAATTCTGGTTTATCGAGAACTTTTTGTCGCCATCATTCAAGGTAATTCCACATAACTCTTTAACTTTATCTTGATCGATCTCTAAAACTAATATATCCCTGCTCTTTGGTGTTTTTTAATAAGGACTTTGTACCACACATGGCTCGCGAGTACAACTTTGATTATGAAATGATTACATACAAGTGGCCATCATGGCTCCGTGGTCAAAAGGAAAAGCAACGTACGATTTGGGGCTACAAGATTTTGTTCCTGGATGTGTTGTTCCCACTGGATCTCGACAAGGTTATCTTTGTTGACGCCGATCAAATCGTACGCACGGATCTTCAGGAGCTTGTTGATTTGGATTTGCATGGCGCTCCATATGGCTATACTCCTTTCTGTACTGATAGAACGGAAATGGATGGATTCCGCTTCTGGAATCAAGGTTATTGGAAAGATCATTTACGTGGCAGGCCTTACCACATTAGGTAAGCACATAGAAACAAAGTGTGCGTTTGGAGCTAATAGGAATAGGTGGGAGAGGGGCCTTTTTTTTGCCGTTACTTAATACCGTTTTCTCAAAAAAAAAAAACTATGCGTAGCGCGCTCTATGTGATTGATTTGGTTCAGTTCCGCAAGATGGCTGCAGGTGATCGATTACGCGCCCAATACCAACAACTAAGCGCAGATCCAAACTCGCTTGCCAACCTTGACCAAGATCTTCCGAACAACATGATACATGCTGTGCCCATCTACTCATTACCACAAGATTGGCTCTGGTGCGAAACATGGTGTAGTGACGAAAGCCTCAAATCTGCCAAAACCATTGATCTGGTAAGTTATCTTACATTCTATGTATACAAAGATGCGGTACTTTGGATCAAGCAAAAATTCATAATTCTTACTTTTTTGTGTCACTTAGTGCAATAACCCATTGACCAAGGAGCCGAAGCTCGATCGCGCACGACGCCAAGTACCAGAATGGGAAGCATATGATGAGCAAGTGGATGCTTTGCGGAAACGTATCGCGGTGCTTGAACCATCCACTTCCGACACTGACGTGAAGAAGGAACAGGAACCAAGTGTGGAGGGGAAACGGCACGTCAAGGATGAGTTGTAAAATACTATAATCGTTATACATTATACTAGGGCTATGTAAAAGTACCAAGGTCAAGCAAAATCACATACATTTACACACTTGAAAAAAGCAAAAATATCCCCACGAATTTATGGCAGAATAAAAGATATCACAAGTGCCACTACATATTTTCTTCTACATATCAAATAACAGCAATACTTCAATGGATTAACGGTATTTATATCAGCTACATTATATGCACCTCCTCCACAACAAATGGCAAAAATGCTATGTATACAAGCAACAAAATTTGGGGATGCGCCTTGTACACAGAGCGAGCCAATCGACAATTTCGTCATATAAACTGATGGACGGATACATATATCAGTAGGAAAAAAGGTTCAAAAGTTGCTGCAAATATGTAAAATTACTTTTTTGTTTTATGTTTTTTGCGAATGAAGAAGAGAAAAAGAAAAAGACGATGGATGTATTAAGCGGTGTGGAAGGAGGGGAAAGCAAAGGAAACCAAGTTGAATTACGTACTAGAGAGCAAAAGAAAGAAAGAAGAAACAGAAGAAAGAGGGTGCATGCTAGAAGAAGAAAGGAGTTGGGTGAGGTAGAGAGATATTGGTATTGAGCGAAATATGTGAGTGGGTTTGTGTTTGTTGATGTGATGGTTGTGTTTAGTAAAGGTTAAATGGAAGAGGGGTTGATACAAATGCGTTGAAGGTCTTTCTAGACTTTGCCCTTGTTGACATAGTCCTACATATAACAAAGAAAACCGAATGGCTGATAAGTAAAGGACATAGTGTGTATCATATACTACTTACCGTAAACTCAAAGGTTGGATCAGGTACGCAGAAAGGATGTGATAGCAATTGAGCAGCCGTGGGCCGTTTGCTCGGATCACTAAGAGGAAAATAAAAGATTATTACAAAGTCTTGCAAAAGAGAGATCGAGAAAGAGAGGTACATATATCCGTACATTTGAAAGCATTGTCTTAGGAAATCTTTGCCAACATCAGACATGTCTTCGGGAACGTCGGGTGACTTTTGGCAACCAAGCTATTATAGTCAAAAGAACGAGGCCTTCGATTAGTCTCTACCCAGATTTCTCTCACACACACAGAGCAAACATGAACGACCCATGACGTACATTGTAAAGAGTCGCAATTTGGTTAAGTGTTAGCCAAGGTCGTTGACCAGTAAACATTTCAATCACTGTGCAGCCCAAGCTCCAAATATCAACTTTGGCGCTATACGGCTCGTTCTTGACTACTTCAGGTGCCATCCAATAAACGGAACCTATCCAGTTTTGAGAGAAATGAATGTATGAGATCAATGTGCCACCGTCACCCTATGAAGATCTGGATAGAGATGTGTAGTCAAATGAACGATAATTACCTCGTAAGGACATGCGCGAGTTTTGATCATACACTTCATCATAATCGTTCTTCTTGGATAAACCAAAGTCAGAGATCTTGCATACACCATCCCCTTCTACTAGAATATTGGCAGCTTTGATGTCCTTTTTTTTAGAAGGGAATCACGGTGGTTAATAATCCACTAGGTATTCGGAAAAAACCAAAAAGTTACGAAAAAAAAAGCGAGGTCGTTTACCCGATGAAGGATGCTCCTTGAGTGCAGATACTCGATACCCATACAGATTTGACGCGTGAAATGGCGCACCAAGGGCTCTTCAAAAGCACCATGCAACGCCAATCGACTGGAAATACTACCGCCCGAAACATATTCCAAAAAGATGTTGACGACACCCTCGCTGTCGTCTCGACCGTATCCCAGGTATTGGACAATGTTGTCATGATCCAAGTCACGTAGCATGGCGATTTCTTGATACAAAGCATCGACCATGTCATGCTGATGGCTGTCCAACAGATCTGATTTGGTTTTGGGTATTTCGACCTGCTTGACAGCAATTACTTCGCCCGTGGCTACATTGAAAGCCAAATACACGCGGCCAAACGATCCTTTGCCGATCAGTTTACCCCTGATCCATTGTACGGATTGTCCATCATGCGTCGTACTGCCGTTATGGCTCATGTTCATGCTGTATTCCTGTTCGCGCACGAGTTGCAGTTGCTCCTTGGGCTTGACCTCCACGACCCGTTGGCCCCAGAGCTTGGTACTTTTGCGCCGCAGGATCGACCCTCCTTTGGCTGAGGCTTTGCGCGCCCGATTGTATTTCTTGCTCGCCTCGCGGGCTACAATACGGATCGATTTTGTGTGCGTCAGTCGTCGATTGATAGGTTGTTGCTGTTGAGGTCGTTGTTGCTGCAGGGGTACCGGTTGCTGCAGCTGTCCACCGACAACAATCTCCTTGTCTAGATCATGGTTGTCAAAGTACTTGTCCATGTTCTGACACACGACTTCGGCAGGTGGTCGTTCGCCCCAGAACTCGCGCGGAGATGCAGGTGGGGTGCTGCTGGTTCTGGTACTAGCATCGTCAGATGATCCATCGTGCATGGTTCCATCGTTACGTTGCAGTGGGTGTACAGTAGATGGCGCTACTGCCCATAATTGTGCAGTTGGTCTGTGCTGTTGTTGCAGCTGGTGTCTTTGATGCGTCTCTGCAAGATTTGGGCAACTGGTTCGGGGCGGAACAGCCCAGAGGCCACTACCATTGCTGCTGCCACTGCTACTGCTGGCGCTACTACTGCCTTCTCCTCCTGGATGGATCGGTCGTCGGGTTCGATGATCGAATGTTGGCTCTGAACGTCGAGTCCACCTCGGATCGTCATGATTGACAGTGCTGTTTGCGGTCAAGTGGGGCTCATGAATATACGGAACGCTTCCGGTACGTTGTCGTTGGTATTTAATGTCACTGCTCTCTGACGCATGGGGTTGGGTAGGATGCTCATACATGTCTTCGGGCTGGCAGGGTGTCGGTGGATCGGAAAGCTGAACACCAACAGGTTCATCATAGGGGGACGCGCGTAATATTTCACGGCTACTGTGTCGACACACTTTGCTGGGAAATATGAATGGGCTGGACTCTTGCAAGCCGCCATCGCCAGCGCTGACTGGACTGTGTGATCTACAAAGAAAGTAGGGAGAATGAATGACTAGATGTCCAAGGTGATGATATATGCAGTCTGATTGGACTTACTTGTGAGTGGTATTGAGATGGGGTGATGAAGGGGTATCTGAAGGAGAATGACCGAGCTCTGGGGTCGAGAGGGAATAAGCTGAATTGCCATAAAAAGCAGCTGAAGGGGGTTGTTGTTGCTGGTGATCGTAGTATTGGTGAGTATCGATCGCACGCAAGTACCGGTTTTCTGTGTACGGTGGCTGCTGCTGCTGCTGTTGTTGTTGCTGACGAACAAGCCCTGCTGTGGACGGGTGCTGATAGTTGGGTGCAAAACAAACGAGGATATGTTGATTGGCGGAATGATCAGCAATAGAGCAAAGGTACATGATGTCCTGCGAGGCCAATGGCGTTTCTGCATATAGGGTTAATAATGATTCTACTTTTTTCTTTCTTTCTTTCTTTTTGCTGCTGCTGGTGCTGCTTCTTTGCTTGCTTACATGCAGGTCAAACCTGAATTTTCTCTCTCTCTCACTCTCTCTCTCAAACAGACACATTGTAATTTATACTTGCCTGGATCCGGTCCGTTCTCATGGAAATAGTAAAACTCGTCTCGGTTGCCTTGGACATCCAATCTCTTTAGAATCCTGTCCTTGAGACACTCGGGATCACGAATGTCGGTGACAACAACGCTGTACCAGGTTTCTTTGTCACTCGTCACTTGGATTCTTTGTTCTGTAAACTAGAAAAGGAGAAGGTTTAATTTTTGTTGTTGCGTTAGTTTTAAAACAAAACGTTTGGATGTGTGTCGTGTTATTGTTTACACACACACACACACACACACACGCAATGTTTTCTTTTTGCATCATGCATATCACACACACACACACACACACTAACCCGTTTATGCGTTGCTAGCCCTAGCGCGCTTTTATTGGGTGGTGCTTTAGTACTAGTAGTAGTAGTAGCACCGTTATCCGATGGTAATGGTGTTGTGGTTGTTACCCCTGATGAGGATGAGGACGACGTTGGTGATGTACTTGACGTCGCTGTTGTTGCACTAGCATGCTGTTGCTGCTGATGCCCCTTGGAGGTTCGATGTGATGTGGGCGATCGCCAGTTTGAATAAGCTGCCCATATCTTGGACAGTTTATCAGGCGTAGACGAGAATTTGGACGTGTAATGATGATGATGATGATGATGATGATGTTGCTTCATGCGTTCTTCTGTTTCAGCATCAAATGCAGCGGCGTCGTAGTTCATGGACGATGTGCGTGGACTGATCAATGGCTGTTGTCCTGGAGGTGGTGATGGAGTAGTAGCACAGGTGTGATTATTAGAGGTAGTGCCAGTTGTAGGCGTAGTAATAGGAGTGGTGCTGGTGGTACAAGAAGAAGGTGTCAATGACGGTGATAAACTGAATGATTGTGTTGTTGTAGATGATGAAGATGGTATTTGGGAGGGTATCTGGTTTTGAGGCTGCTGCTGCTGCTGCTGATGATGATGATGATGGTGGTGGTTATGATGACTGTGATGATGATGATGATGTTGTTGTGTAGAGCCGCTGCTACTGTACAGGAACGTGTTTCGAAACTTTGAAAAGGCTACCTTGGGAGAATAGCGGGTGGGAGATTGGCGACTTGCACGTGAATGGACGGGTGTAGTGCTGCTGTTATTGTTTGTAGTGGTTGTGGAAGAAGGAAACTCTGAAGAAGAAGGCGAGGGAGAGGGCGAGTTGTGACGGGAAATAAAACTGATGCCGCTGCCTTCTTTTGCATGGTCCATCAGGTGGGCGTGTGCACTGCTCGAATGACAGTCGCAGCGCGAAGCACTCAAGGGCGTCGTAGGCGAGTTGCTGCTGGCCAGCTGACCCGATGAGGTTGGCGTGCCTGCAGAAGGGATGCTGGGGCTACGATTGCCGTACGATGGATGGACGTTTGTGTTGATGGAGATCTATCGCGCAAAAAACAACAAAGAAATTGTGAGTTAGACAGCGCACTTGAATAAAAACGTTCCGGAAGAGTAATCGGATGGTGTGTGTGTGTGTGTGTATGTGTGTTTTCCATTTGTTTGGTTCGTACATTAGCTGGGGCTGCAAGTGGAGACAGCTGGCCATCCAAGACTGCAGGCGTCCCGAGCGCTCTGATATCATTTAGAAGTCTCCGTCGCTCGGCATAGGTGGTGACCTGGCGTGGTAAAATCTCCACCAGCTTGGCCAGCGTAATGTTGAAAAATTCCTCGCCGTGGATATCGTGATCTGGGAAGAAGAACAAGCATTCATGGCTTGCTTGTCAGTGTCACTTTCCCTTCCTCACATACACGCACACACATATTCTCTCTCTCTCTCTCTCTCTCAATATTTCTATCAAGAGTGACAACTCGCAGTAGTAATAAAAAAAAAGAAAATTCGGAGTTCACCTTGGAACGTGCTGGCGATATGGCCCCACCCTTTTTCTTGAAGCCAACATGTCACCTTGTCTTGATCGAAATCACTTGCGTAATCAGGTCCCAATGCTGTTCGCAAATCGTCGGGCGAAGGCGTCGGTATCTGCTTGAGCATTGTCGATGCTGCTGCCGCTGTTGCACGGGTGTTCGTTCAAGAAAGTTTGTAGGTTGGAGGGAAAAAGGAAGGCTGTTGTGTTGCTTTTTTTGTTTCCCAGGTAAGTAATAGTGTACTCTGCCCGTTTCACAAGAAAAGAAAAGTCGATATGTGATTGACGGCGTTGCTGTTATTGTTTTCGCTACTGTTGCTACGTTGGAAAAGCAAGTATGATCGATCGTACTTCTTTTCTTTCAAAGCAGAGCGAATGAAGAAGAGAGAGAGAGAGGGGGGGGGTATAAAGGTTTGAAAAAAAGTTGAAAAGAAGAAGAAGGCAGGTTGTTTTCAGTTAGGGAGTCAACAACAGGGAAAAGAAGCAGCAAGCAGTAGATCGAAAAGAGCCCTCACACCACACACACCCTCTTCTGCGTGCGTGTTTGTGACTTGAAAAACTCAGCACATCCGACGCGCATGAATGAACTGAACACATCGTCTCTTACATATTACACACAGCACATAGCACACCACTGCTCTGATATACCACCATCCTTGCGGTCCTCTCCCTTGTGCAAGCAAAGGGGACGCTGAGCAAAACATTGGCGCATAGAACTTTCCTTTTCCCCAAGCTTTGTCAATCAACAAGCAAGAAGACTGCCTGCTCACCAACATCATAATCGCCGACTCGTGGCTTTCATTATGCATTATTCTGTGATCGTCGGAATCAACCCGCTATGGACATGCTATATCAATCAATGCTGCCAAGCCCATTTGGACAACAATTGTAGTAAGGAAATGACGCATTCATAGGCTACAGATTATTAGTGTCGTCGTCAATCTGTGTGACAACAGCTACAACACACTTTTTCTTCCGAGTTGGACAAAGAGACCCCATTCTAGAAAAGAAATTGGAGGAGATGGCTGGCATATCTGCATTACTCTCTGTCATCAATAAAAGACGTTTCCGTAAAGTGCTAAAGAGTAGTGATTAATTGCCTGGAAGATCAGAGAAGAAAGTATAGTAATGGCGCCCATGTCTTTGCTCTTGACAGACAACCCGTTTTTCACAATAGTAAAATCGAGCATGACGTCGACACAGCATCACAGACCAGCCATTGGCGTCGTGTATGAATGAAACTTTATCATGACTTACAAGAGCAACATTGTATATCTCGTACGACGCTTCGAGAAAAAGATTGTTGTACAACGCTGAAGGAACAAAACAAAAAAAAAAAGAGGGGGGGAGGGTGTGTGGAGAAACACACCATTGCTACTAACTTATTCCTATTCTATCGAAGCTCTCCTTCATGATCACCCCCCACCTCACCACCAGATGCATACATACTTACAAGGCATGCATATTGCCTAAATTAGTAATTTGTGTTGCTGCAGAAAGAAAGAGGGATATTCTATATCGCCGTATGCTCACATGATGAGGTACAATATTCCACTGATTCCCAACTGTGCACCGAATGTAGAGCTTGGTAAGCGACTGTTTCTGATACACTTACTATGTTATACGTAGCAGTATTAGCTGTAGATCAATACACTAATATAAAGGGGAGGGACATTGAAATGCCAAAAAATATTAACATCCACTAACGGTCATTCATCATGTCTAGACTACCTATAACATCAACCATCCCTGAAAAGAAGGCATACTGTAATAGTACGAAAAATCGCCTATTTAGGTTACATTTCCGTTCTTGCGTCAATGACGATAGCGCCAAAAAAAAAAAACACAACAACAAATAACAACAAAAAAATTTATACCATGTTCTTAAAACAGGGTACTACGTATACTAACACTACCACAAAGCACTATACAAAAAAACTACTGTACTAACCATCAAAAAAACTACTGTACTAACCATTTAGGTTGCGGCTTGGGAGTGACTATTATAGCAACCCTTTCACGCATTGGCCGCCGCATCCCTTAAACAACCCCTTTGCTTTCTATCTTTTACGTACGTATCTCCCTCTAAGATACTCCTGACGATCAGCATTGTATTCTTGATACAAGTTGTACTACCATGGGTGAAGTAGTACTACTGTGTATCGCGTCGTGAGATTCAGCTTTCTCTTTGAGATATTAAGGAGCAACCACTCATTTCTCTCTTCTTTTGTCTGCTACTTCTACTTTTACTATCTCTATGTACTACTCTACTACCATCGCATATAGCAAGACGTTTATAGTACAAATGTGCTAACATCTAACCTCAATACAGGACTAACTTAATTCTATCGCAACTCTGCAGTAAATATTTAGGGCAGCAATGTTTATCTTCTTCCTCCAATAATTTAATGATGACGTTCTGACATGGTCCAGCAGTATGCATGCAGCATATTTGAATTGTGCTTGATAGCTTTGAGCATACATATATACTGCATCTTCACGGTAATTTTGATGAATCATGGGTAACAATGTGTACACTACTCACAGTATTAGAATTTTGAAAGTATATACAGTAGTAGTATAAAGTTATGAATATACATGCGAAAGCTTATTATAATATATATATGATATATATATTTACACAACAAATAATGAAGCATTCTTGGAAAACAAAGTTTGTAAACGAAAGACGAAAAAATGTATAACAAAGAGGACGAAGGAAAACGAATGGGAAAGAAAAGAAAATACAGGAGTTCGGTGAGAAGAGCAGAAGAGTATTCTTTATCTAAACTACAATAGACTCTTCAAGTTATATGATATCTGCTGCCCGTGCAACGCCATCACTATACCATACAGCAATGCCCTTCCGTAATTCGCGTTGCCATACAACGCCACGATACTGAAAGGTCCAAAAGCTCCAGTAGCATATCATGCCAAACCCTCCAAGGACAGTAGCAAAGTACCAGCGAATAACATTCATCGGATGTAACAAGTGAGTCAAAGCATAACCATCATGGCTCGCCAGAGGAAGATAGATGAGTGCCCAAGTGATTCCAACGCCAAATACGGACCATATTCTATAGGCAATTAATTTGACGCTACTGCCAAACGCCACTGCCTGGTTCTGTGATGTATCTTCGAGTTGACTAGCAAACTCCCATTGTATCAGCCTATACACAAAAACATCAGTTTCTCTATAGTAGATAGCAACCTTTTTTTCTAATAAAATATTCGCATTTTCTTCTCTCTTACATACCCCCAAGCGTTTCGTCGCTCAAGCATGAGTAGGCAGAACGCGATTACCGCGGGGTCAAGTGGTAAACGCTCGCTCTTGAATACGAATGTACCCATAAGCCACCCTGTCCAAAAGAGGGACGTGCCATAGACAACGCAGAAGCGCTCGAGCGAAAGTATACCCAACAGATGTGCCACCAAATGCGACAGCTGGAAAAGCATATGAAAGAGCACAAAGATGGGAGGGTATGTGTGGGAGCGAGAGGAGGATGAGAGTGAGAATAGCGTATGCAACGAAGTCATAATTGCCAGCCAAGTTAAAAAGAATGTTGATGGTGCATACGAAACTTGACTATATAATAACAGTTAAGATCCGGTTATTATTACATGTTTCTATATAGAAGGTGATGACATACATGATGCTGTCTCGTTCTCTACTGCTATGGCAATATGGAAATCGTACAACAACTGCTATGGCACTGCTACTTACATAGTGTAAGTACTTTTGAGAATTGGGATTTCATGGCTCGTGCTCTTGCCGCTCTTGGTTGAGCGTGAATTTAAGCGTTGTTGTTCTGAGCTTTTTTGACACGACGACGGCGGTGGAGGGGGAGGGGGAGGGGGTGAGATCACGCCCCATCGTGGAAGCGGATCGCAAAAGTAGATCCTCGATCGATCGTTATTATAATGGTGAGGCAACGCCATTGAGGCAACAATTGTTTTACAATCAGCCTCCTATTTTTGAGAGTGTGCCCTTTCTAGCAAGCAAATAAGAAAAAGAGCAAATAAGAAAAGTAGCGTCATGATATTTTTTTTTTTGGTTCTTTTGATGGGATCTTCCAAACACGTGAAAAATATAGAGTAACACCATATACTTTTCATATGATGCATTCACAAAAGGCGCAAAAAGACAACTCCCCCGTTTTATAACGCAGTATCTCTCTCTCTTTTTTCTATGTCGATAGTGACATGCTGAGTCGTTGTTATTCCACGACATGCAATATCCTATGTATATACGAATGGGGTTCCTTCCACTCGTTTTATCTTCGTAGCGTGGTTGCACAAATCACAGTAGCGCATTGTTTGACAAGCTTGTTCTTTAATCATACATGGAAGCATGCTGGTGTTAGTCTATGTCTAATTGTGTTTGTATTTGTTGTGCCTAATATACAGTAATGGCTACGATAAAACATATCTTAATTTACGCAAGCTTTGACTTTGCAAGAAGATAGTATATTCAATGCACCTTATCAGATTTTAATCAGATCAACCTATATAGCCGACCAGCGATTCATTGCATCTTTGTCAAACTGATTTTCTCCCCTTTTCGTTCGTAAGCTTTCCCCAGTTGCCTTTCTGTACTTCAAAGATCGCCTCGAAATCTTAACTAGATAGTTGTTAAGAAGACAAAAGCGTCGAGAGTGTTGTTGCAGCCCCTAATTTACATGTGTGATATAGGCAGATATGATAATTTATCCAGTAGTAGCATTGAGTGTTAGATTAAAAGTGCTTTACGTTCGTTTCACGCACTAGTATATATCCCATATCCACAATGATATGTAAAAAGATCAGTCATTCTTCGCACTATGGAGATTGGCGTCAAAAAAAACAGCACACACAGGTGCTGTTATTAGCAGATGCTTACCTCCAATTATTTCAAGTTTCTGCCATAAAACATACAAAATGACAATATTTCATATCCACGCGAGTAATGGACCACCATGAATGTAAGCGTCCAGAGAAGTCGTAATTTATCAGTATTGTCTCTGCCTCTGTTACTACCCGACATCCCGCTTGACGTACTTCGTCACATTGGTAATATATTCATGGGTTTTACTTTATCGACGTCTTCGAGGCGGCAGCTCTTAAGTTCTTGTAGAGACGAACCACGTGCGCTATCGAAATTATGAAATGGCTCGTCTCTAATCTAATATACCTTCAACAAGACTTCCATGAGCTTAGACCATCGTTGTTGCTCTATGAACTGTCGGTACTATTCTTCATTTTTTGAGATAACTTGTATCTTATCGTTAGATTTTACCAAAAAAAAGTCTGTACGCCTCTTATATAATATATAATTACGATATTTGGAAGCGTCACCAACTTTATTGACATTGGTGAACAGTTGATGCTGTCGTTGCTGGTGTGTGAGTGATGATGTTGTATAGGCAAGAGTTGATTCGCGCAATTCCTCTAGACCGAGCGGTGAATGTTGTACATTGTTTCGTTGTATGTGCGTAAAATGATTGTCGGCAGAATGCACAAGAGGGAGTTGGGAGATGCAAGAAGCCATACTTCTTGTGGGCGGATTACGTAGAAACGCTCTGGATAAGCGATAGCTTATGAACGATACCTCGCGCCAGGGCCACATTGACCGTATAACAAACAACACACGATCGAGCGCCAAATTAGCGTCAAATATGATACCAGCTACGAGACTTAGGGCTTTGAGCAATAGAGATTCGCTGATCCTATAATGTTGTATGTACTTATAACATTTGACGGATAGATATCAATGTGATCAACGGCTGATGAATTTTCGCTTATTCGGCTGATTTGAAATGTCGTCATTATTTGAGGCGTAGTTCGATAGAGGTCAGAGTTTCCAACGGCGTTTGATGATGTGTCTGTCAGGTAACGACGCATTTTGATGCCACGAGAACCGAGCTGGCTATATTCAAACCAATTTTGTACCGATTGGATGTATGTTTGTGGTTAGACTCGCCATTTTGCCAGTTTCCAGAACTTATAATGATAGGTACGGTTGGTCATATCTAGGATACCGTGCAATTTATTTTTTATTTCATTTTCGAACTCATAAGCTCTACGTGACAATCGAAATGTGCCATAGACAGCGTTGTCATAATCGTCATGTGAAAGTAATCCGGAAAAGAGAATAATGGTCTCTTTGATAGGTTGATTATCGTCGAGCGTCGCGTAACCGTTGCACTCGAGCATTGTGAATTAGCCTTGATACTGTCAATTCGCATGCAGCCATGTTGCCTAACTCCAAACCCAAATTCCGTAATCCAAAAATTTGTAAATCTATCAAAGCAAATGCGCATAAGTTTTAATATATACAGAAACTTATTATCCGCACAAAACAATTTGTATATCCAAACAAATGCTTTCTATCTAGCTCGACATTTCAAACCCTTTATAGCCATCCTGTTTTGTCGTTCCAAAGCAAAAAACATACATTATAATTTTACCTTGGATCCCATATGATATAGCGAACAGCGGCTGCCCGAATGGTAAATGATGAGGTTCATCCAAGGTGAGAGCAGCACAAATTATTGCAATGCCAGCAATATTACCAGTAGCAAGACTGGTGATTTTGATCTAGTCATTTTGTCCTCTTCGGTACTGTTGCAAACATCATCGTTGATAGTAGTAAGTGTATCCTTCGGTAATCTTCGTGACCCAAGCAACTCTTCTGCTGCTAACATCATCGGTATCTAGCAGGCGAGGTACTTTGAAGTCGTTCACGCATTTCTCTGTAACAGTGAATCCTATTTTTTTTTAAAAAAAAAAAACCAATGATAAATTAGTATACATAATCGAAATACTCTCTTGAATGGCAATACCACTTTACATTCCTTGCATGATTATCATGTAGTAACCATTAGCAATAGACCAGCAACCAGAGAATCTCGACCTACAGTCGAATACTTTAAGATTGCAGCAGGTGGCATTCCTATCCATGGCTGATAGATGGACAAATGACTTCATAAGAATATCGCAGGTGAATGCTGAGGGACTAGACGGGCGCGAGCACACGGCCTAATTTTCCACATACACCCTTAAAAGCAAGGTAGAGGATGCTGAGGGACTAGACGGGTGCGAGCACACGGCCTAATTTTTCCACACTTTGACTACCCACGGGTAAAAAAACCAGAGAGCGTTTCGCATTTGAATGCTGAGAGATTGAATACGTGCCGTCCTAGTTCTTCACATTCACTACGGCATCAAAAACAGTTTCAAAGGAAGTAGAGAAGCTGTAGAATCAAAAGGACATACCCCTGTTTTCGTCATCTGCTGCTTGCAGAAATGTGTCGAATGCGTCCTTTCATAATAATCAGTAAGTAGTATATAAAAAACGTGCGAAGATAGTAACACTTTTATGTATAACCATGTGCAATCGATCTAAACGTGAAAGCGACCAAAGTTTCAAGTGTTGGGGATGTAAAACGTTCCGAATTCTGGAACAAGACCGGATTCTTTAATCCTAGCTAATTTGATGACGCACGACGCACGAAAATTTTTTCATCACCGGCCCCAGAGTCCGCTGTTGCGTACCAACCGTGTCACCAACCGACATAGCACGCAACGCGGCTCTGCCTGATTTGCGGCACGCATGACTGAAGAAATTAAAAAACTCTTGTTTCGGGGTTTTTTATCATAATAAAAGAGTAGTAGAATGAAACGAAAGTGAAATACATCGTGCGTGCTATCGTCCTAGATCTTCTCGCAGTGCGTAACATTATAATTTGGCAACTACAGTGACGATGAAGCGCTGTGTAAAGACGAAGACTTATATCACGTAACGTGATATGTGGAATATTCCGTGCATATCTATTTAGTAGTCTTTTCAAATTCTCGTTTAATGAATTGCTGCTTGCAGAGCAAAATGGCGCGCCATCAGGAACGTTTAGCTAGATTGTCGAATTTGTCATGGCTTCTTGTTATTGTGACTAAAATGCGCGTGTGATCTTTAAGACTTGCTATTTCTGTTATTACAGCTTCTCATTTAGTGGTGTACTATGCTGCTACTGTATTATGTTTGCCAGATATAAGAATATACAGATGATCGTGCTTGCATGTTGCTATTTTCATTAGTATAACGTGACAGTATTGTCAGCATATCTAGCACTTGTCCCCCACTGCTCTCGTGCCCTCTTTGTCCCTTCTGGTCTTATGTCCCGGTACACACCGCAATACAAATGCTAGAAAGGGAGGTTGTATTTATTAGTCGGCACTTTGAATAAAGAAATGCAGTGAGACCTTAGGCTGCCCTACAAAATAAAAGTATTTTCAGCGTGTATGCGATTAATGACCGCATTCTTTGGACGATAATATCATATGTATATTACCCCTTGTACACAGCTGCTTTTAAGAGGATGCAAAATAGTAGTCCCTTTTGGGATCACACACGTCAGGCCCTGCACCTTTCAGAGGTCTGTGATGTAACTTAGTATATGAGTATACTTATCACGGCGCGTGTACTAGAGTGGTGTAATGAATGTGAATGTACCGCGTCACTCTTTAAGCTATAAGTACTTTTAGCGTTAAGACAACGAAACTATAAAGACAATGTGGGTGTAAAATCCACGGTATAAAACGATAAATATAAGAGAAACATGGGATTTCCAGCATTAGAAGTAAGACAATAGAGAGAAACGTGAAAATCAGGAATGAATGCCTGATTTCGATATACTTCATCATGCGAACAGAGAACCCCGACGAAGGCTGTCACAACGCTGCGGCGGTTTCGATGGTGACAATTTAAGTGTGGGCTTGTCTCAGAAGCAAAGGTTCCAATAGCGACGTCGAACAAGTGCATGCCAAAATGGCGAACAATAACTTTGAACAAATCACCGAATGTAAGCTGGAAATGCGTATGGAAGCTGGAATATACATAGTACTGAATGTGTGCTCTAGATTTTGATGCGTATGTCGCGAAAGCAAAAGGCGTCGTGTCTTTGAAATCCTTCATCGAGGAAAATTCAGACATAATTGACAAGTTTTCGCGTGGAGAGGATGTTGATGTAAGAAGGTTCTGGAACAGCAAGTTTACGGAGTTAGTTACGGAGAGGGGAATCAAGGTGTGTACGAATATTTTCGTTCTAGTTTTCTTTCGTCAGTGTATTCCGAGTTGCTGAACAGGAAGTTTTAGAACTTCAGAAAGGACCAGCCGGACTGGGATGCGGTGCGCTCACCTTTTAAGGTAATCTATATTTCGTGTGATGTCAAAAAGAATCTCATAGGTTAAGTTGCTATGTTACAGAAAGCTCTGCCAAAAAGCCGCAAAAGGGCCTCATCGTCTTCATCAATATCATCAGCTACAGCATCATCATCATCTTCTTCCCCGTCCTCTTTGCCACGACAGTGCGAGAGCAGCAACAGCAATAGCGTGAAATCAAGTACGGAGAGTACCACCAAAAGAGTAAGTACTAAGCAATAAGAGTAATCATATACATGTGCAGGGGTGCCAGTGAGTGGTGAGTGTATATATACGTTCAAAAGTATGTGTACTTAATAAAATTTTCTTCAAATTAGCGGAAGAAGATTACGATTGCGCTGACCGAACACGTCGAGCCTGTAGTACTGCATGAAAGTACTGATAAGGTAATGCGACTGTCAGTAAATTTATGTGATTGATATTAACCAGCTCGTTATAGTGGGTAGTCGGAGAGGTGCCAGTTACAGAAACGCTTCTTGAGTACCGTGATCTAAGCATCGAGAAAGCCAAAGAAGGAATGTTGGATGCGTACCAGGAGGAAATGTAAGTGTATTATCATCTATGAGGGCTTTAAACATATGACTAATATACTTGATTTCCACTAGGTCAATCAATGGCATCTTCTTGATCGATGGTCTAGAAAGCGTGTATCCAAGCTCATCGCTTGAATATGGTTTTGACGAGCAGACGTAGGAGCTGATGGTGGAAGAGTGCAATGGCCGATATCCTGTTGAAGAGCTATCAGATTCAGTTATCAAAGCATTAAGTCAATTCGAAAAGGTGCAATTTTATATAGAATGTAATCTTGTCGAGAAAAATGCTCTAATTGACTGATGATATATTTTAGGCTGCTCATAAAAATCTTAACTCCTGCAGCGCAATCGCTGACAAAGTCGACTCAACCTTCATCAAAGAATCGCTTATAAACATATATGTTGCTGATTTTAAAGGTTTCTAATTACATTTATGAGTACGTACATATCGTTAATTTATACATATAATACCAGAATATCAGCGTATTCTCCAGATGCCTCCAAGATAATCGATGCAAATGAGAGCACGTTTTCAATTGTAGTGGTCTATGGGGTATATGCATTACCAACTGTTTTCATATAAAAACTATCAGTAACAAATTTTTTGTTGGTAACAAAAATTTAAAATGGTAGTAAATTGAATTTTATCTTTAATAAAAAAATAACCTCTATGAAATCTAATCTATAGTTAAAAGAAAATAAAAAAGTTATAACTTATTTATAAATTGTAATATCCTTTAATTTAATAACTTTAAAAAAAATTTATTTAAATAAAGATATATTTTTTTTAATTTGTAACTTTTAATGAAATTTATAACTTTTAAATATTTTTGTAACTTTTATAAAGATAAAAATTTCTTAAAGTGGCGGAACGGTAGTGAGCACCCCCTCCTTTAGGCTAGACCTTTAGGTCGACACCTAACTTGACAGAATAAAGAAATATCATAATTTTATTATTTATAACAAAAATTATAGATATTGATTATTCTCCTATAATGAATTCAGAATATATAAATGATTTAAATGTGATGCATCATATTTTTTATGAAAAATTAAATAATTTTATCAATGAATAAAATAAATCATAATTTATCATTATAATTATATCTTGTTATATTTAATAATATACATAAAAGAATCTTTTTTGAAATAATATTATTTTTATATTATTTTATTTGTCTATTATATTTAATATTTTTTAATTAATTTTTTTAAATATGTTTTATGTTCTTTATATTCTCTATAATATTTAAAATAGTCTTTACAATTTTTACATTGTTTTCTAAAAAGAAAGTTTTATATCTTCATTAATATTAATTTTATTTTTTCATTTATTATATTGTATCAATATTAAAAACAGGTGATAATACTTTATAATATGAATATTTTAGAAATAGATTCTATATTTAAATAATGTTATAAAGGATTAATTTGAGATCTATTTTTGTTTGACTTATCATTATTTAATTTCACATTTTTCTGCCATTAAAAAAAATCTTTCAAAGATTAATTATTTGATTTTTATTTTTTAACTAATCTAAAGGTTTACAGTAAAAACATAACAACAAAACCTAATATGTTTCTTGTTATTCTTAATTTTATTATATATTTAATGTTTTGATGTTACACAAAGTTTGTGTAACCATAAATATTGACGAAAATAATATTTTCTTCTTTTTAATAAAAACTTAGACATTATAATACAAAAGAAAATAAAAACAAATTTTTTTATTTTTTCCTACTAGTAAATATATTGACAAATAAAAATAAAATAAATGATCATATGATCATTTTATTTTACCAATGAAATTTTTAATTTCATTTTTTTATTGGTCAAATATTAAAATATAAATTAAGAAATAAATTTTATTTATTTCTACTAGTAGAAATGGGATTAACCCATTTCTTTTTTAAAACTTTTAGAAAATATAAAAAACCAATAATTAATTATTGGATTTTTTAATTGTTTTGAAATAATGTACCAAAAAAATATTTGTGGTTACACAAATATCTTGGCATTAATTATTTCTAGAAGTAATAGATAAATAATTTTGCAAACATTTATGTTTACTAACAATTATATTTCTTTTTATTTAAACATTGAAAAACAATTATTTTTAATAAAAATAATTATGTTTTTGTAACCAACAAGGTAATGTAGTACCCACTATCCTGTCGTGCTCCCATTTACGAAGGGGACCATGAAGACCAACAAAAAAGGGTAAGCACAGGAAAGAAAATGTATAAAAGTAATTCTACTGATATTTTCATTGCAAAGAACCGATGGACAAGCCCAAGGTTCAGCCGACTTGCAATTTTCTGATCTGTCAATAAATTTCGCATACAGTGGTTTATGCGAACAGGGCTTGTTGATCACGGAAATCAAACCACCTCATAAGATAAGGACTGGAAGCAGACCAGATCTGGTGAAGCTCGCCAACGAGATGAAGGCGTCGATCGACAAGATGGTGGAGGATGGCTGTGATGACAAAGATATAGGCAACTAGTTGTTAAAGATAGTACTCAGTTGAATTGATAGAATCCATTATATCTTATCAACTAAGGAGAGTAAATGGAATCTTTCAGATTCTCATTTTACTCTTAATAACTAACTACCGTTAGTTTAGGATTGCTTCGCAAAGACCAGCTAGTGCTTCAAAAAATCGAAGATTTTTCTTGCACTACAACCCCCAACATAAGAAAGGGAGCAACTGATTCGGTTGCTTACAACCGAGATAATTAATATTTTAACTTCATTAAAATATTATATTATCAAACATTTAAAAAACAATAATTCTTATTGATTTTTAATGTTTTCAGTTAGCACCCTAAATATAATTAAAAAAATCAAAAAAACTGAATTTTTTTCTAATAAAAAAAACAAGATGGATAAAAAATTTGATGATAATATTAATCATGAAGTTAATGAAATTATTATAAATGAATGGCAATTTTTGAATAATAATTGGCCTATTATGCATAATAAATATAAGCATAGAACAGAGATTAAAGATGTAGACTTTATTGATGATATTAAAATAGAACTAAAAAATAAAATTGGTTATGTGGCAGTATTTTTTTTCCTTACTATGCTGTATGGTGTTTGTGAATATCCTGGACCATATAGTGAGTTAGAAAAAGGATTAGTAATATTATATCATTTAGTATGTGGTGAAACAGGTCAATATATGAATAGATATATGAAATATTCTTCCTTTTATGCTATATATCAAAAGTTTTGGATAGATAATTATAAAGTTTTAAATAAAAAAGTTGATGAATTTTTATCCAAAATGTTTTCATCTCCAAAATTAAGAATTTATAGTGCATTAAAAAGAAATCCTAAACAATTTAAACATGTGACACTGATTATAGATGGACATGATTCTAAAATCAACTATGTTAATACAAATATTAAAAGGGAAAAATTATATTCCTACAAGCTAAAAAAACCTGGATGTAGAACTCAAATTATTTGTGATATAAATGAAATGATTTTGTGGGTATCTAAAAGTGAATTTTGTAGTGAAAGTTCTGATGGTAATATGTTTTTAAATATGAAGTTATATAATAAATTGTATATTACAGATTGTTTAGCTATGGATGGAGGTTATCCATTACTTTTAAATCAATTTTATCAAATTTCAGAAGAAAAAGGAAAGTCATACTCAGATGATAATTTTATTTATCCTATTAGAAAAGATATTGGAGTTGATTTAACTTATCATGAAACACATTATAATGATATTTTTGGAAGTTTTAGATCTATTATCGTGAATGAATTTTCAGTATTGGGTAGTAAATTTAATAGGTTTAATAATAATCATAAGGCTACAAAAATGCATGATATAAAGCATTATAATTTACAATTTAAAGTAGCTTGCTTATTAAAAAATATACATAAATTTGTAGATGACTTTGGTATTAATATTCAATCTCATCATAAATTATGGGAAACAAAAGGTTTTAATTTCTCTATTGAGGAAAAAATGATAGATATTGTTATATCAAATGAAATTAAAGTTAAAGAAAAAACCAAACGAATTGAAGAACTACAACAAAAATTACTATCAATGGAATTAAATGATGATATTGATATTATAATTAGTGAAAATGAAATGGATGTTGATAATAATAGTTCTGATTCTGAATTAGATGTTCCAAAGGAATATAATAGAAATAAAAGAAAAAGAAATAAAGGTAAAAATAAAGTTACTGATATAAATAAATTTAGAAATAATGATAAAAATGTATATGAAATTGAACGCATTGTTGGTCATAAAGTTATTGATAATGAATATCATTTTTGATTAAATGGAAAGATTATTCTGACAATGATAATAGTTGGATTTCTATTAATGAATTTAATTAAAAAGATATGTTAAAAAAGTATGCTAATCAAAACCAATTAGTTATTACTTTAAATTAATTTGACACTCTACCCTATATAACAAAATAATTCATAATATTTAAAGACATATTTGGTATCTTTTTTTTTATTTAGTTATTAAGTAACTTTTCAATAATTTTTCCAAGATTAATATTTCCGCTATTACATATATACTTTTTTTTTATTTTTTTTATATCTTTCTTATTTTTTCTGTTTTTTTCTACCAATTTATAAAGTTATTTATTTTTTTTTCTCTTTTTTTTAGTATATGTAGCTTACTATGTTTTGAACATAAATAATCTGGCTTATTATCACCAATATTTGTCTGTATTTTCTTATGACACATATACCCTTCTTTTTTTCCTCTTTTATGAACATAGGTACATATATTAGGTGATGTGTTTTCATACCAAAAATGATTAGTTTTTGTTATTTCTATTTTTTCTTCAATGATGGTTTTCATCATTTTTTGTTTTTTTTCTTTTGTATTACATATAATTTCATCATCAAAGTATTTTTCCATCACTTGATCCATAATATCTTTAATAGATTTAACTATAGATTGTTTGCATACAAGAAATTCAGTATTTAATAAAGTCATTGTGAAATTTTATCAAATCTTTTGATGTTTATCTTTTTTATAAAATTAAAATTCAATTTTTATTTAATTTTAAAGTTGATAAAATAATTTTCAGTTGCTACTTATTTCTGAGTTTTAAAATTAGTTACTAGTCTCCATAAGCGTTTTTGGTCTACAGTGGTCCCCCGCTTTTTGCAGCCCCACTTTTTGCAGATCCTCAGTTTTTGCAGATTTTTTTGGAGCATACCCGCTCATCACTTAATAAAATTGCAGTTTCC